TCTTACTTGGATACATACTTGGGTATTAATTTCCAATTACAATAACAATTGAACAAAGACCTTAAAGTAAACTAAGCAGTTATCAGTGAATCAAATATCTTTATTATTGAATATAAAATTATTTATATTTTTTTAAATCCCTAGAATTGTTAAGTGAGGCCAACAACTTTTTTATGACTTATCTTGCTAATTTGTCACAATTCTGGAAAAAAACAATTCATAGCAAAAACATAAAGTTCCAAAAACAGCGTTTCAAATGGAACTTTATGTTTCGTTCACATTAATATCAATCCCTGATTGGAACTGTATGCATTTTACTGAAAAACGGAGATTATTTACAAACAATTAAACCACACTTGAACATAGAATATAAATTGAATATTGCAATGCTATAATCCTGTTATAAAAACTATTTTATATAAAAATGCACTGATTTTTATACATATATTGTATTTATTATGTCTTCATCAAAGGAGGCACAGCAATTAATGTAGTGTTTTTAACTGAACATACGCATGAGTAATTGTTTCAAGAATGAATGTTTGAGTTCATTTATGAATAGTTCTTCTGCAGATCTTCAAACACCGTTAGCTTGACTCCAAATTGTCTGAGAAGAACATTTATTGATTTCTGAGTTTAATTAATTTATTTTACACCCACGGCAAGCAGCAAGTTAATATTAAAAAAAAAAGTCTTCTTTTTACTTAAATTTATAGAGAATAAGTTTCTTTTATTAATTTGTCCACACCTTTTTTAAATTTTTAATAAATTAACCAAAAGCAGAGTGCAATAACTTTTCATATCAATCTACGCCCAAGTGATGGCGAATGTCGTTTCATTGTCACAAATAATGCTCGAGAAGATGACGAAACGAATCTACTAAAATATCAAAAGTTAAAGAATGTTTTTTGTGTCAATATTTCACACTTTAAGATTTTATATGCAAACATAGAGACAATACTGGTGTAACAAAGTTCTAGTTTCTAATGTTTATAGCAATTCAGGGTATTGATGAGACTCTATTTCCAAAACACCCACTAAGATCGCAGTGTAGTACAAATAATATTTTATATATTTATATTACTTATATTATTTCAAATGTTCTTTATATTTGCAACATATTTTCTTTTTAAGTGGAAGAATGGATTAACAGTTCAGGAACTCTGAAAGCTTTGAAGTTTCAATGAGTGAAATATTCCAAAAATTGCGGTCCTCATAATTCATTCAAAATCAATTTTTTCAGACCACATTTTGATCTGAAAAATTTGAATAGTATTTAACAAAAAAAGTACTATTCATAAAATAAAAACAAATAGTGTTAAAATTTTTTAATAGTTTTTAGATTCATAACAATTTAGCTACTCGCCCAGAAAGGCATTTGCTTACTAACATATATTAAAATCATAAATCAAAAATACTTAAAGGTTTAATCATTTTTGCGAACTTTATGCTGATTGCTCGGAAATGGAATCCGTATGAAATTCCTATGGGATTTTTTTTTTTTTTTGAATTTTATTTTGATTTTTATTGAATCTTCTAAAAATCAATTTAGAACTAACAATAAATTTTCGCTGCTAATTGCTGTATTAAAATATTTGAAAAAAGAAAAATAGATAATTAATTGTCCTTAGCCAAAGCTTCGTCCAATTTCGTTACCATGTCGGGCGTTATTCTTGAATAGCCGGGTTTATATAGTTTTTTTTGAGTCGCTGTGTACCAGCGCTTTGGGTAAGGTTGCTTGCAAGTGGATTTTGATGGCTCCTGAGTTTGATTTTGTACTTTTGTGTGTTGCTGGTAATTACATCTGTGACTGTGTCAATTCGAAGATCTCTATGAATATTTGCGTTTTTTATATACCAGGGGGCACCGACTATTTGCCGAAGGATTTTTAATTGAGTTCTTTGAAGTTTTTCAATGTTTTATGGAGAAGCAGAGCTCCAGAGTTCAATTCCGTAGGTCCATATGGGCTTCATCATTGTGTTGTAAAGTTGCACTTTGTAGGTGATATTAAGTTTAGAATTTTTATTTATCAGCCAGTTTAGTTCTTGTTGTTTGAGTTTAATTTGGGTTACTTTGGTTTCTATATGCTTTTTCCACGTAAGCCTTCGGTCGAGGTGCATTCCTAAGTATTTGGTGTCATTGCATTGTGGTATTACTTTTCCATTAATACGAAGGGCAGGGCAGGTATCTCGTCGTAGAGTGAAGGTTATGTGTACACTTTTTGATTCGTTAACTTTTATTCTCCAGAGATCAAGCCATTTTTGCAGTTTGTTGAGGTGGTCTTGAACTGATTTTGTGGCTGTGAATGGGTCGTCACTATGGCTGAGAATGGCAGTGTCATCCGCAAATGTTAATGTTGTTGTACAGTCACTGGTTGGCATGTCTGCTGTGAAAATCAGGTACAGCAAGGGGCCCAGAACACTACCTTGGGGTACACCGGCCATAATGGGGAAGGCATTGGAGACAAAAGAATTTTGTTTTATAACAAATCTTCTATTTGAGAGGTAGTTTTTGATAACTGAGGATATATTGTATGGTAAATGTTTTTCAAGTTTCCAAAACAATCCTTGGTGCCAAACTTTGTTAAAGGCTTGGGTTATGTCTAGAAAGACGCCTGAACAATACTGCCTCTTCTCAAACGTTTCCTTAATTACTCGTACTATGCGGTGTACTTGTTCCATTGTGTTGTGTTTTTCTCTTTTTTTTAAAAAGTTTTTCAAAAAATTTTGAGAGAATTGGGAGTAGACTTATGGGACGATATGAGGTGACTTGAGCGGGGTCCTTTCCGGGCTTGGGTATCATCATGATTTTGGATAGCTTCCAGTCGTTTGGAAAATATGCAGTCCTTAAAATAGCATTATAAATAAAAAGTAGTTGGTCTTTGGCGATTTGTGGGATCTCTTTCAACATTTTCGCTGTAATTAAGTCGTAGCCTGGGACTTTCTTGGTATTTAAATTTTTGATTTCGCTTTTTAGTGGTTTTTTACTGAAGCAAATTGTCATATTGTCGTTTCGTTTGGAGTAAGGCAGAGAGTCATGTTTTGTTAAAGTAGAGATTGGGGTAAATACATATTTAAGGTGATTTGCAAAAACAGCACCCTTTTCCTCATCGCTTTTAGCCCAGTTTCCATCTGTAAGTCGGAGGGCTGCTCTGTGTATAACGGGCTTTTTCTTGAGTTTAGTGGCTTTCCAAAGGGAGTAGTTTGTTGTTTGCGTTGGAGACAACTGTGAAATAAAATTTTCGTATTCTATGCGATTTTTTTCTTTGAGTAATCTCTGAAGTGCTTTCGTCAGATTCTTGAGTTGTTTTTTAATACGGGGGGATCGTTGTTGTTGCCATTGGCGTCGTACTTGTCGTTTCTCCTGTATAAGGGTTGCAATTTCGTTCGATGTATGGTAGTTTATAGGTTTGTGGGGTATTGGGAGTGGGGTTGATATTCGAGCGGCTTGTTGAAGTAAAGCTGTAAAGTCCTGGACTGCCTTGTCAATTTCAATATTTGATTTTAGGGAAATGTCAGTGTTAATATGTGAGCTAACATATTTTTTAAATTTTAGCCAATTTGTGTGCTGGTTTGTGAGCTTTTCTTCAGATTTTGGATTGACTATTGTTGTGTTTCTAATCAGAATAAAAGTCGGCGTGTGATCAGAGGAGAGTTCTAAGGATGCCTCGGTAGCAATTTGATCTCTTTTTAAATTCTTTGTTACCGCAAAATCAATGACGTCTGGAGTTTTTTTCCGATCTGAAGGCCAGTATGTTGGTGTGCCAGTGGAGGATATGTTAAGGTCGAGTTTTGATATCACGTTCATCAGGGATTTTCCTTTTGGTAATATAATTCTTGAGCCCCAGAATGTGTGTTTGGCATTGAAGTCGCCGGCCGCTATGAACTTGGGTCCAAGCTTTGTAAAATATTCTTCGAATTGAAGTTCCGTTATTTTATACCTTGGTGGACAATAGATTGAGGTTATAGTCAGACCTTTTATGTATTCTTCTAGACATATGCTTGTCGCCTGCATATATTCTGCTTCAAGGGTTTGAGTTGGGAAGTGTTTAATGTGGTTTTTTATGAGGACAGCAGATCCGCCTCTTGCTCGTCCACTGGGGTGTTTCGAATCGTAGAGTATGTAACCAGGTATCTTAAAGTAGCTTTTCTCGTTAAAATGGGTTTCTGAGATCAGCATGACGTCAATTTGATGTGATTGTAAAAACAATACAAGTTCGTTTTTATGTTGGCTTAAGCCGTTAGCATTCCAGAAGCAAATTTTGATTGCATTCATGGTTTGGATAGGATTGAAAGTAAGATATTTTGATTTTGAATCATTCCCTGCATCATATTTTGCATGGTGTTCATAAATTGTGTCATATTTTCCATAAACAGTTGGATCATGTTTTCAATATTTGAAGATGGTTTAGTAGAGTTTTCATTTTGGACGTTGCTTAGGCCAGTGAATCCTCTAACAGCGTTTGCATATGATATTTGTGTACACGTATTGTTGGAGTCAGATGGAGCATTTGGCTGAGATCGCATTTGAGTAGTGTGTGGTGGGATTACTGACTGAGAGCGGGGACGCAATGCTGGAAACATTCTTTGTTTTTCGGTAGTGTATACTACACATCCTTTATAATTAGCGGTGTGGTTGCCTCCACAATTTCCGCATTTTTTTGTTGTTGGGTCCTTCTTATTTGATGTGCAATCCTTAGTGCGGTGAAAGTCGCCACATGCAACACAAACACTACGGAGTGTACAATAGGACTTCGAATGTCCATATTCCTGACAATTAGTACACTGCACCGGGTTTTTACGCTTGTGCGGTTCTTCTACTGATATTTTTCTGTGTAGTAGGAATTGTAGGGAATAAATTGGATGAGCCTCGTTCGATTTGAGCTTCTTTCCTTCAGGTTCAAGCTCTATTTTATAAAGTGGTGTCGAAACTTTATCGCGGTTTTTAATGTTGTATATAGATTTTGATTTAAATCCTTTTTCTTCAAGTGCTTCCTTAATTTATGCTGTATTCAAATCTGGTTCTATTCCTCTTATAACCACTGTTAATCCTTTGGCACTTTTTAATTGATAGGTGTAAAAATTTTTTCCATTTTTTTCGAAGTTGTTTACAACTGCTCTGTAATGTTTTTCTTCGTTGATCGAGATTTTTGTTTCATCGACATTTCCTTTACGAAGAGGCACAACATGGAATGAATCTTTGCCAATACTTTGTGTTAGGGAGTATATAAGAGCGTTTGAATTTTTTTCACGCAGAAATATGGGTGGCGGTTTCTGGGTAGGGGTGGGACTGGTATTTTTATTATCTTCGGCTAGAACGGCAAAACGATTCGCTGTCGAAATATTTTCTATTTTTCGAGTTTCTGTCGAGATTGCATTGTTAGCATTTTCTTGTTTCGGGCTACGTTTTCTTTTTATGATTTGAATATATTTATCCATGCCACGGACTTTGGGTGAATCAGGATTTTTTGCTATGTTACTATTCTTTTGCAATATATTTGGCAATATGTTAATATGTTGCGCTGATGCTGTGTTATTTTTCGAAGATGTTGCTGGACTTTGCGGTTGGTAGCTTGATTGTTTGCAAGAATTTTCACTTACCGAGTATGAGCGTTGCCTTTGGGTTTGGTTGTTTAGCATTGTTGTTTGGTTCGTGGTTGGCTTCTCAGAACTACCATCTGCTGTTGGGTAGCATATGGGTGAGTGGTTTGTGCCTCCGGTATGCGAAGGCGGTGATCTATTAATTGGCATATCGTGGTTGGTATCGTGGAAGTTAGCTGAGCAGCCAACTGTCTCTGAGTAATTTGTTGTGAAAAAGAAGCTTCTACTTTTTAATTATTTAATTAAAAACCTTTAAAGTTCTGTTTTAAATGGCACGAGAAAAATAGTATGTATTTAAAAAAAAAAATATAAATATATATTATTAATATAAGTATAATATAAATTTATAATATAATAAAATACAAATTTCAATTTTTCTTAAGAATTTATCAAACAATAAAATTTTTTTATTTTTTGAGGCGTCCTTTCGCGTATTTATTTATTTTATTTATTTAGCATAAGTTTGTTATTTAATTACACAATTTTTCAAATTTGCGATTTGTAATTTGTTTAGCTATTCTACCCGTTTGCAACACTTTTTTGTAAATTTGTTTTTGAGCTTTTAAGCTTTGTTTGCTGTCTCTATCAGCTGTTTTCAAGTGTGTGTGAATTTGAAAAAAAGTAAACAAATTCGAAAACCAAATCAAAATTCACTTTTTTCGCAAAAATAAATAAATATAATAATATTTTATTTTATCGGGCACTATTATTTTTTTATTAATATTATTTAAGAGTCACTGTCTCGATTATTTGTGATGAGTTTAATATCACTTTTTAAGTTTTTCGCTTAGAAAACACTGAAAGTTACGAAGTGATTTTTTTGCGCGCCAATGCTGATCACTAATATGTCCCCTTTCTGACTTCCTATGGGATAAGTGAAATTTTCACCAAACTGGAAATATATAATATAACTTATAATTGTGGAATTAAAGTAGAATCAAAGAATCTAGAGCACAGAACTGCAACGAGTCATAATTTTAACATTCATAGTACACTCGTAAAAAACCGAATCTAAATGCGTATAAATGTTTTCCCCACTTACTACTTATACGCATTCACATTCGCCACAGAACTGATTCATAAGTATGTTTGTTAACGAATGCCGGTGCTAATAAATCAGCTTCACAATAATGCGTATGATTCATATATCATAGCATATATTCAGGTGAGTATGAATGACTCGATGACTCGGGTGAGTGCTGTGTGGAATTTTGTATAAGCGCTGTTTGTTAGCGAAGTAAAATTTCTGTTTAGTTTTATACTTTTGATAAGTGTTGTTGTTGCTAGCATTGTAAATGCATGTGTTTTGTTTGTGTTCTTAAATACTTCTTGTGCAATAAAATAGGGGCTATTTTAGTAGGAAATTATATGCACAGTAAACAACAACAACTAAGTTTTTTTTGACTGTGACGTTATACTCATAAATGATTCATAAATCATTTGAATCATTTTCGTGTCGAATGTCGGTGTTTATGAGTATTACATGAGTAGAGTATAAATCATTATAAGTGCTGTCAGCTGTATGTATGAATCAGGTGGAGTCGAATATACAAAAAAAAGTCAGAATGCATATAAATGAAATACAAGTTCAAGTATGAATCGAGTGATGAGTACTCATTACAGTTCTCTGATCTAGAGTACAAAGAAGAAGAAATACCCACTTTATTTTGCTGGTGGATTTATAATAAATCCATCCAACCTCGTGCAACAATGTTCGATCGAGTCACAACTGGTATGATGTTCAGTTCAAACCTATATGTGAGTCAAGTAAGGCTGTCAAAAGTCCGATTGTTACGTATTCAATCGTACATGCAATTCTCTGTATTATATTCCCAACATGTTTTGCAATTATAGATTAATTATGTCCATGAGATGTTCAGTTTTGGTTCGCATTCATATATTAGCATAATTGGTGAGTGATCAGATGATAAGTCAGGAAGTGTACTCACAGCAAGAAATCGTTTATTTATATTTTTGGTCACGAAAAAGTCAATCACGTCTAGTATATTGTTCATATCTGTAGGCCAGTACGTAGGTTCACCTGTGCTTAAGATGTCTGTTTTCTTTTTTGTCAAAGATAGTGTGTATTTCGGTAACACTCCAGAAAAAAGTGTTTCTTTATTTAACCTACTTATTTACAATATTTACATTTTTGTTTCAATTATTCATACGTTCGAACGCAATGTTCAAGTTGATTATGCTGTAGGCCAGACATGTGGAAGCCACAGCACTCCGCCTCTCGTGAAGCTAAATTGCGAAACGAACTTTTTTGCAGGAACGGAGTCATGTTACTTCAAAATCGCTATCATCTAAATTGAGTGTGCATGCTGCTTTCAATCTGTCTGTTGATATAAACCTCTCCTCTTTCTGGTACTTTATACGGTCCATGGTCCATTGTTCTGTAGTGGCAAATTAACAGCGTCATATCTAACGAATACAAATGCACACTTGTGTAATTCAGGAAAGACGAATTCCGTTTGCTTTGAGTTGTGCGTGGTAAAGACTGGTTGTAAATTGCTTACGTTGTTTCTGAATTTCTGCATCCATTCTGTCGTAGAAGAAGTGTTGTTATCAGGCTCAAATAAATCTCCAGGAAGTTTTAGTGTAGTTCTGTAAACCATCTCTGCAATTGATACGTTCTCATTTTGTAGTGCTTTGCATCTTAGACTTAGTAACAGTAATAGTAACATCGAATTGATGGGTCATCCGCCGTACAGCCCTGAGTTGGCACCCAATGATTGCTTTTTAAAAAATGCGTGAACGATTTTCGTAGCCAGAAGATGCTGTTGAAGCGTTCAAAAACAGTGTTTTGGAAGTGTCTCAATCGGAGTCGATTGACAATTGGTCAATTGGATTGACAATTGGTTAAAGCGCATGCAAAAGTGTATAAATCAGGCTGGAAAATACTTTGAAAAACACTAAAACAATTTTTGATGATAAATATTCGCATTTCATTATAATTATTATTATTTCATTTTTAAATCTTCGTCAGACATATATATAGCAACCGTCGTACGTCATTTGTGCGCTTGTTAGTTTTTTAGAGAAAAATCGTAGTGGCTTTCATTCACTGTCAATTTGTTATTGAATAACTGCTCTAAGTGCGAAGTCTGAAGCATATACTGTTAATGAGGTAGTAGTATTGTGTTTCGGATAGCAAAGAAGTGTCGCATCGGTTAATGATTGCTTACATGCGTTAAGTGCTTCTCGAAGTTCTTCAGTCCACGCGATCAATGTTTCAGCATCTCTCACATTACTTCTCTGTATGCTATGTAATGCTGCTGCATTTGGGATGAATCTCCTATAAAAATTTAACATACCCAAAAACCTTTTCAACTGTTGTACCGTTTTTGGTAATTGATATTCCAACACAGCCGGGATCCCAGCAGGTAGTGGTTGTAAACCTCTAGAAAAGACTAAATATCCCAAGAATTCTTTGATGATTAAACCAAATATACGTAAGCGCTGCAATAGATTTTTCATACGTTCAGTATGTTCAGTCAAGCCACTTGATGCAATTAGAATATCGTCGATGTAGACATAAGCAAAATCTAAATCTTGTATTACGTGATCCATAAATCTATGGAAGGTAGGTGTTACGTTGCATAAACCGAATGCCATTTTTTTGAATTCAAAATTTCCAAATGGCGTAGTGACTGGATTTTTTTAATGTCTTCTTCAGCTACTGGAATGTGATGAAATTCCCATGTCAGTCGTCTTTTGAAATCAAAATTAATTATAAATATCTTCTTACCATCTTTTTATGTTCTAATTGGTGTTTGATTTGCTAAATACAAAGTTAAGGCATCAGGTGTATTTAATTTTTCAGCTTTTGAAATCGGGTAAACTGATACATCTGCTCCTGATTCGATGAGAAACCTGATTTTTGTTTTTTTACCATTAAAAAACAGGCGACCAATTTCTGGGCAATGCTAACCAGTCTCCAAATGGGCTTCTCCCATTAGTGTTTTAGTTGTTCATTGTTCGCAAAGGTGCATGGTTGCACATATTTTTTAGCACTTTCACCAAATTTAAAATGGTACCAAAAAAGTGGTTTACTTTTGCTTGGTGATCGAAAATACTTGTTGGATTTTTTTGACCGTGATTGATATCTTGATCTTGCTAAAGGTGATACTTGCAGTGTTAACTCGTTTATATTTCTCTCCAGAGTTTCAATATTTGACATTAGCGGGCTTATAACATTGTTTATTTTACCTACTTCAGTTGTGTCATAAACTTTATCAGCCATTCTTGCCAATTTGTCCAGATTATCGTCACTCACCGATAAAATTGCTTTAATTTGTAGCGGCAAACGTTGCATCCACAGCTGTTTTAATAATTTATCCGAAAACTTTCCTTGCGATAATGTACGCATTTTATTTAAAATTTTAGTTGACTCCTTGTCACCACATTCAACATTACTCAGTAATTTTCGAAACCGTCGTAACCAGAGTTGGTAAATGAGCTTATTAATCTGTTCTTCAATATATTGTACATATCTGTAGTTGATGTATTGATAATAATGTCGTGAATTTTCGCTAAAATACTGCTTTTCATGGCTGCTACAATGATATGGAAGTTTGTTGAGTCTTGAGTTACTCCTGCAATAATAAATTGCGAATCAATTTGTTTGAACCATAACACTGGATCTGCTCCCCAGAATGGTGGAATTTTAACTGAAACTCTTGAGATTTCTGTATCTTGGTGCGGCTGAATCGGCCAACATCTAAAAGAGATGTTGGAACACCTCTTTCAGGTAATAAGCAAAAACGTCTTCATCACTTCGCGCCTAGTTTCCGAGAGAGTTTTTTATTGGAGAATTGGATTCTAAAGGGGAATTTATACCTTTGCTAGCATTCCATAAGGATGAATGGTCTTTGCCATGCAGATTTAAGTCTCATTTAGGCTTTCATAAATAAGTCTTTTTAGGGGACCTAGATTTCTGCCATTCACGCCTTAATCTAAGTTTTTGTTAAATTAAGTATTCTATGGCACTATTTGTAAGTACTTTATTGGATGTGTAAATTTTATTGTTTTTAGGGGTGGAGTTTTCTGCTGCTAAAATCAGAATTGAGTTTAAAACCGAGGTTGCGTTCTTAATATGAGATTTACACTTTATTTTGTAATTTGTGTGTATGTGTAAACTAATG